TTTAACTTTTTGGCAAACGTCGCATGTTTGTACGGATCTAGTAAGGTCGGCTTTCATTCTCTTCCAATAGAACTTGCTGCTCAACTTCTGCCATAGTTTTTCTAATCCTTGGTGAGCTCCATCGTAAGCTTGTTCGTGGGCTTCCTCCATTATTAACCTTCTCTGGCTCGCTGGGACGCAGAGTCTTGGGTGGTAATCTGCATCCCTGAAGAACAGCAGGCCCGTTTCATCCTTGAAGAAGTGATGCACCGGAACCCAATCCTCAACTGCAGACTTAGGATCAAGCCAGATTTTCGCGAGATGGGGGTCCTCAGCATAACCTTTGATCCAATCTCGGGTCGTACCCTCTTCAAGGTGGACCAGAATATTGGGGGGAGGATTGGTTGCACCCCAATATTCGTCGATCTGATTAGCCGAAAGGGTCTTGTCTATGACACTATTGTCTTGGTCTGTTGGGAGGGTTGGTTCTACTGGTGGGACGTTAGCCTTACGACTTGCGCTTCTTGTGTTGATTGACACTTCTTTAGCTGCTTCAAGGCAATCGCTTATGCTGAATGCCATGAACACTGCTTTGCCCAATGAAGGATTCGAGGAGAAATCAATGTGAACTGGACTCATTTCTAGCACAATCGTGTCGTCTCTCATGGGGGAATCTTGCGGAGGGGGCTGATACAGATGAAACCATTTCACCCGTATAAAATTCAATTTTAATGATTTTACTGATAAAGGTCATCTCTAATAAATACACTACATACAATTGCAATGATACAAAGAGTCAATGCGCATACCCAGCGCAGTTGACTAAAAATGCAAATGCGTGGAATCTGAAAATAGGACAAGGCTTTGGAACTGGCAGCAGTACGCGTCGTGACATTATACTTGGATCCTATCTAAGATTCACCTACCATGAAATAGAGCACGAAGAGGTTCTAGAGTAAACACCCAATGCAGGGAGAAGAATTGCATTACTACCAAAGGGTTTAGAAACACATAATGGATTTATTGTGAAAACTCGTGCTTATACAAGAAATACAGAAAAGACGACATAGACGCTTAGGCGGCATGTCTGAAACATTGAAAGACTAAACTACACCTAGGTAGTAAACGTACAAAGACTTAGCGTGGCTCACAGCCATTCAGAAAGTCATGTACGGCAGTTCCCGCGTACGCATCAAAGACTGATGTGTCTGAACGTCACAAGTACAAACATGAGAAAAAGACACATTCTGTTATATGAAATATAATAAGAACCCCCTGACAATTAAGAAAGACATTTGAAAACACCTTTGGAGTGTCTCCCGACCTCTGTAATGAAAAGACGAGCCAAGACAAGGCATTTTAATTAAAAACTCGGAAGCGACGGAAGGCCGAAGACTATTGGTAAACGCATATGCATGCGCATCAACGCATCAGGAAATGTTAATCATTTTGTGATGTCATCTGTCAAACCGGTAAACCGGGCCATAGAAAGAAACACGCAAGATCATGCCAAGCTAAGAATAGCTACGTCGGCTAACTCCGCGTACACATCAAACACTGATGCGTTTGAAAATGAAAGACGTGACACTACAAAATCTGTAGTGTTCACAGAGATAGGCTACAAAATATACCACACGTTCATTAAATTTCATATTTGTAATTTGGACCGAAGTATCCTGCATTAAAACACATGTAAAACATAGATAGGGGTTCCTGGAGTATATAAGGAGTGCGCTGGCAGGTCAAAAGGCAAGCAATTGCCCCCCCGTTGACCAGCTAGTTGCACTCCAAGTAGAGGTCTTTACCATCCCCCACGTAATCCATATGGACTCCACTGGACTCCACTGGACTACAGTGGATTCCAGTGGCCCTCTTACCAGGCCAGATTGGCTGGCAGAATGCCCAGTCCACTGGAGTCCAGTCCAGTCCAGTCCAGTCCAGTCCACTGGACTCCCACTGGACTGCCAGCCACTTTCCTGAGTCCAGTCCCAGTCCAGTGGACTATGAGTCCAGTCAGAGTCCAGTGGAGTCCAGTGGATTCCAGTCATTCCAGTATATTATTATTATTATATATGAATACTACTAAAAAAGCGAAAATAGACTATACAATAAACTTACATTTTAATGATCAATGAAAGGAAAGGTTATAATTTACATATAGCGTGGGTCAGTGATAGCTGCAATAAGGATTTATGATTTTGTTCAGTCTGCGGGGTGAGGTCACGTGACTTACTTGAGGGCGTGCCATATCGTCACGTCTCCTGTTTGCGGCATGGTCACACCTCCGTGACCATCCCATTCCCTTCCACCACCACCACCTCTATCACTGCCCACGCCAACGCCGCCCACGCCAACTCCGCCCACGTCAACGCCGCCCACATCAACGCCGCCCACATCAATGCCGCCCACGCCAACGCCGCCCACGCCCATGCCCACGCCAACGTGGAAGGACAGGCCAAGAACGAGGGACGGCGCCCATGACGTGTCAACGTCATGGGCCAAGGGTATGTCTGCCCCACCACCCCAATGCCCCGTACTCACCACGACAGGCGCCAGCGGCACGCAACAACAAAAACAACACACGAGGAGGCCAACGACACACAAGAACGACGACACGAAGACGACAACACACGACGACGACGACACGCGAGGACGACGACACGCCAGGACGACGATATGCGAGGACGACGACGACGCGCGAGGACGACAACACACGACGACGACGATGACTACACGCCGGGACGACGACACACGACCACGACCACGACACGCGACCGCGACGACGACGACACGCGACGACGACGACTACACGCCGGGACGACGACACGCGACCGACGACACGCGACGACGACGACTAACACGCCGGGACGACGACACGCGACGACGATGACGAACGAGCGCCGACGAAAACGCCGCCCCCACCACACCCGAAAAACGACGAGCGCCCGCCAGCGCTGAACGGTGACGAGGCCCCTTCACTCTCTCCCCCTTTCCTTGCTCCTCTCTCCCCCCCTCCCTTTCCTTGCTCCCTCCCCCCTCTATTCATTCCTCTCTTCCCCCTCCCTTTCCCTTTCCCCTCCCTTTCCCTTTCCCCTCCCCTTCCCTTTCCCCTCCCTTTCCCTTTCCCTTTCCCTTCCCTTTCCCTTTCCCTTCCCCCTCCCTCCCCCGTCTGTAACATAGAATCTATGTAAATTTAATTAATTTAATTAATAAATATACTTCAATTTTATTTTTTGTTTTTAAGTCTAAGTTCAGGAATTCTGGATTAACTTAGGTCTGTGGCAGTCCAGTCCAGTCCAGTTTTGTGTTGGGAGAGTCCAGTGGAGTCCAGTCCAGTCCAGTTTTGTGATTTGCAGTCCAGTCCAGTCCAGTCCAGTCCAGTTTTGTGCTTGCAGTCCAGTGGAGTCCAGTGGAGTCCAGTTTTGTGCTGGGAGTCCAGTGGAGTCCAGTTTTGTGATTGGCAGTCCAGTCCAGTCCAGTCCAGTGGAATCCAGTGGAATCCAGTGGAATCCAGTGGAGTCCATGTGGATTATGTGGGGGATGGTAAAGTATTGTCCTACCTGGGCAATGGACGATAGAAAGGTTCGGGGCGTAGGCTGAAAAAATAGTTCCCCAAGCTGCCAGACATCTGTTGGAATTCTCATATGTTTTTGCCCATTGGAGGGCTGCATGATCGGTGACTAGCATGATTTTCTCCCCTTCAATAAAAGGTTGGAACTTAACGAGACCTTCTTTAGCAGCTAAGGCCTCGCGTTCTGTGGTGGAATAGCGGGTCTCTGCAGATTTGAATGTCCTTGACCAATAAGCGATGACACGTTCTACATAAACAAGCATATCATCAAATGTCGCCCCCCAGGTTTGGGTTGCAAGATTGTCATTCAGATTCAAGGGGAGTTGTACTACTAGCCTGGGTGGGCTTTTCCCCGCTTCGAATGCCTTTTTTAGCTGACTGTGCAATTGGGTATTCTCCAAATCTTTGATAGCTATCGGCTGAACTTGTTGCAAAGCACAGCCCAGTGCCTCATCAGATGCATCAGTATACAGTCGATATGGCAGTCCTTCTAAGGGGTGTCCCAGTACTGGAGCCTCCTGAAGCATGCTCTTGATGGAGTTGAACACTGTCTCGCATTCGGCTGTCCAGACCCACTTCGCTCCTTTATGCAGCAGTTGGAATAAGGGGTAACATCGGTCTGAGTAGTAGGGGATGAAAGCAGAGAAATACATGGCCATTCCTAGAAATGTTTGTAGTTGGGATAATTTTGGAGGTCTTATCAGTGCCCCCCCTATTCCTGCAGGATTCCGGTCATTCCAGTGGAATTCCGGTGGAATGAAATTTAGCAGTAAGCCTGCTAAATTTGTCATTCCTGTGTTTTCTCATTCCGT